CAAAATATTCACGTAAAGAAAGGTGTCCTTCCAGGAAAAGAGCTTAGGTGCCGCCTCCTCTATCCCCACGGACCGAGGTAACTGAGCCACACGGTGGAGGGAGCGTCCTCTGTGTGTTTTGCTTTTCCTGAGGACACAGCCACCCTGCTGTTCGGGGACCTTTCTCCTGGGTTCCTCTTCCCGTCTTGGATGCAGGTTGATGTTTGAGAAGCAAAGGCACCAAGGGTCCCCTTCCTCCGGCCTGGGCCTGATGTCCCCTCAGCCCCTCCCAGCCACACACTGTTGATTCCTGAGCACTGCTGCTCCAGAGTCCTGGCCTCCGCCTGCCCCTGCCCTGGGGCGAAGCATCCTCCTTGCCCCCACCATGTCCACACAGCAAAGGCAGGTGGCCAGGCACCAGGGGAACGTGGTACCAGGGCCTCCCTGCCCCACTGGCAGGGAGCAGCCAGCCTCTGCATCCAGAGTGCCCCTCACGCTCTGCTCCTGTCCAGTGAGCTGTGGTCAGAACACCCAGGCTGACGGCCTGCCCACGTGGGTGGGGACCACATGGCTCCCAAGGTCACTCAGGAGCCCTGAGCGGTTTGGGCCTCTGTCAGAGAAGGCACGGTGATTGGAACGGTCCTGAAACCGTTCGTGAGATCTCTGGGCCTTTTTTGGGCCAAAAGTGATCTCATTGGCCTCAAACTTAGCTGATGGGCGGCCGGCCAGGGCGTCCCCTCCAAGGGCAACTGCTGTGGAGCTGGAGGCCGACGTTGGAGCACCTGTGGGCACATTCGTGCCCTGGGTACTCAGGGCGTTTCTGGATGGCTGCCAGCTTGAGTTATTTCACCAACTCCTGCCCCTGGGAAATGCAAATTAAAGCCGTACCAGGGCACCGCTCTGCACCCACAAGAATGGCTAAAATGCTACCGACAGACAGTATCCAGTGCTGACAAAACCGTGGAGCAACTGGAAGTTGCTGTACCACCTTCCTCCCTCTGGGGACCCTGGGGATCATTTCCTGCTGGAATTACACAGGAGCCATACCACCCTCTCCCTCAGGCACAGGAGGCCACAGATGTGGGCGTATATCCGAGCTCCGTGAGCCCCGGTCCTTGCTTCTGTGAGCAGATCCAGGTCCTGCCTTACGGTTTTGGGCAGTGCAGCTTCAGGAAAGCCATGTGTCACAGTGGGGATTGCGTGGCCCTGCCCTCAGGACCACAGTCCATATGCATAGAGGAGGCGCCAGGGGCTCCTGACATCCTCACATTAGCACCTTCTGAGTCAGTGTTCCCGAAACGTGGTAGGAGAGGAGACTGAGGAGGCGTGGACGAGTGTCCACCCGGGCCCTGCGCAGGGGCAAGGTCGTAGTGGGGGCTATGCAGAGCAGGAGGCTGATTGCTGCTGTGTGGGCATCTGGGGTCGGACCCCTGCTTGGTGGGAGCACTAGCAGGCCGCCAGGGTGGGTGTGGCCTTAAGGGCAGCACACGTGGCACCTGAGCCAGGTTCCCCTGTCTGTGCTCACAGCTGTGTGACTTTGGGTGAGTGAGTAAAGCCTCCTGTGCCTGGAGAGGATCACAGCACCGGCCTCTTGGGATGGTCACTGGAGCTGGATGAATATCTATAGGGCTGCTGGCTCACTGCCTGGTCCGTAGCAGCCCTGGAGGACACGTCCTTCTCCCTGAAGAAGCGAGCCCCCTGCCCTCACTGTTCCCGTGCACTCTGTGCGCTGGCACCCACGATGGTGGGCACGGCCTGGCCCAGGCAGGAGGAACCTGCGCTGTGGTCCCATGTAGGCCCCACCCCTTCCGCAGCTGAGTAGCAGTGACGCCCGGGACCACCACCTGGAAACCAGTCCGTCCTTGTTCAGAAACTGGCTTTCTAGTATGCATTTTTGTGAGTTGAATAAATTTACAGCACTTTACATTTCACTTACAATTTAGACTTCTAAAAAATATTTTTGGTTGGTAACTTTGGTTTCTCGTTGAAAACAGTTGCCTACTTGTGATACTGGTGTAACGTAAAGATTACGATGTAACGTAAAGATTTTTGTACCTTAGAGCTCTTTAAACTCGATTTGTGTACACATAGAGTGGAAGCGCCCGCATGGGCAGGCCGGGCTGCCTCCCAGTGGCGTTGGGAGTGCGTGGCATCTTTTCATGGCTGCGGCGTCAGCCTGCACTGCGTGGGTGTGAGATAGACATGCACCTAATGGCGTGAGTAGCTGGATGTGGGGGCCACTGGTCGCTGCGGACAGTGAGGCAGGAGCATGGCCACACGTGAGGCAGAAGCTTCGTGGCTGGAATTGAGTGTGTTTGGGTCTGAGAAGTCTGGGGGGCGTGTTCTGTGTCCCAGAAGTCTGGGGGGCGTGTTCTGTGCCCCAGGAGTCTGGGGGGCGTGTTCTGTGCCCCAGGAGTCTGGGGGGCGTGTTCTGTGCCCCAGGAGTCTGGGGGGTGTGTTCTGTGTCCCAGCAGTCTGGGGGGCGTGTTTTGTGCCCCAGGAGTCTGGGGGGTGTGTTCTGTGTCCAGCAGCTCTCACACGGCAGTCGTGGTCGCGGTTGCTGGTCCTAGCCTGCTGTGGAGTACCGAGGGGATTCATTGGTTGACACAGAGGCTGAAATTCCACCCCAATCAGAGCTCTATTCCAGGGGAGAAACTGAGTCAGGCTTTGTCACTCTGCAAAACGGTGATGCCGCTCAGCCCGCGTTTCAGGTTGCAGCACACTCAGTGGCTTCATTTTGCTCTCACGGTAACCCCCAGGTGGATTCTATGACTATCCTCATTTCTGCAGAAAAGGAAGCAGAGGTGGCTCACAGCTGAATCACCTGTCCAGGGCTTTGAATTGCAGAGCCTGCCAGTGTCACAGAGGTGGTGAGCCCCTCTGGCCCGACCCACAGCCCCTCGGCAGGGGCTCTTTAGCAAACCCTGCCGATGGGCAGCTTGGCGTGTTTCTCAGACCCCTGCTTCGGGACTTGAGAGGCCTTGAGTGGGTTTGCTGGTCTGAGGATCGTGTGCTCAGTGGAAATTGATCACCTGGGCTCTTCTTTCCTTCACTCTGGGAGGAGTGGGATTATGTGCTCAGCAGAAGTCAATCGTCCTGGGCTCTTTTCTCCTCCACTCTAGGAGGACTAGGACCCAGAGAGCTCTGGGCCCAGCTCCCTGGCTTGGAGTCCAAAGGCAGCTCTGACCACACCGCCTGGGGCAGGAGGGAGGGGAGCTGGGTTCTGTCTCCGTGACCTGGCGTATCCAAGGTCCCGTTGTGGGAAAGGGACGTTTGGCAACTTTTTCTGGAGGATAACTTGCAACTCTGTGCCTCTCCCGAGGGAGCACGCAGGTCTAAGCGGGGTTAAGATTTCCTGTTCCTACTGCGTCCCACAGTTCAGAAAAAGTCATCAAAGTGCTCAGAAGTAAATAAGGAAATATGAAAACATTATTTACTTCTTTTTTTTTGAGACAGTCTCGCTCTGTTGCCCAGGCTAGAGGGCAATGTTGCCATCACAACTCACAGCAGCCTCAAACTCCTAGGCCAAGCCATCCTCCCACCTCAGCCTCCCAAGGAAGGCTGCACCGCCACACTCAGCTAATATCTGCAATTTGTGTAGAGATGTGGTCTCATCGTGTTGCCCAGGCTGGTGTTGAACACCTGGGCTCCAGTGATCCACCCACCTTAGCCTCCCAAAGTGCTGGGATTACAGGTGTGAACCACCATGGTCGACTGAAAATATAACTTAAAAAAAATCTTAGCTGCATGAGAACTAGGCAGGATCAGAAAATGAATTCTGTTTGCGCCCCCACAGCTGTGAAATGGAGGGGCTGACTCCCCGTGCATGCAGCACTCTAGTGCCCACGGCAGAACGCTGCTTTGAATGAAAGCTGATGTTTATTCATGCACTTACCAGAAGGTTTCTGCTGTCACTGAATCGAACTTCCCCGTATATGAGGAGTTCTTCACTATCAGGTGCATACAGGGACACAGAGCAGCAGCACACACAGCCACGCACCCACGCACATTCGGGGGTCGCTGCCGTGTCTTTGTGGTCTTGGGGGGTCGCTGTTTCTGTCTTTAAATCCGAGTGTCAGAAGGGTCTGAGACATCTGCTTAAGTCCCTGGCTTCATTAATGATGCTTACAGCGTGCAGAGCGTTCTCACGGACTGCATAATTGATCTGTGTCCTGTAGAATTCGGATTTTCATGTAAACCCAGGACATGTTCAGAGACGTGGAAATCAGCAGTTCCAGCCCTGCCTTAGGCGTGCCCGTGTGGTTGTGTCTGCTGTGGATTGGCTGGTGGCAGCAGCTGCTGGCACCGCGCAATTGGCTTGGCTGTGGAGTGAGCCCGCGGAAGAAGCCTCTCCGCCTCTACTCCGTGACTCAGGCTCCTGCCGCCAGCCTCAGCCGAGGACGGAGGCTGTGGTTACACAACGCGCAAGTGTGGTCTCTGTCACAGATGTGGCTGTCGCAGAGAGTGCTGTCTCTGCTCCTGTTTCCAGCAGATGCCTGGGAACCTTTGGATATCTTGGGGATTTTCTCCCAGCACCATCACAATGCCACCACAAGTGAATCCTTGACAGGGACCAGCACGGGCACCTCAGATGCCAGGACCAGCGTGATGTATGCGCTATAAGACTGTTTTGGAGGGTTTAGTCAGCTGGTCACTCAGGAAAGGAAAAGGACTCGGCTGTTACTGTGGAATGTAACATGACTGGCTCGGGAGAGGCGGTTCTGCCTGCATGTGTGACCTGAGGGGCTGATATCAGGCTGAGTGATGAGAACAGGCTGAAAGTGTCTGCCCTTCCTCAGATAAGAGCAGGTTCTGGGACTGTGGGGATGGGGCTGCAGGGGCCCCCGAGGAAACGCCGTGCTTTGCCGAGACCCCCGTGTGGCATCACTCTCAACTGGTGTTGCAGAAGTGGCATCATGAATACAGGCGGACCGCCTTCCTGGGAGGTTGTCCTAGGGGTTTCGTGGGCAGCCAGCTTCCCACCTGCACACATTAACAGCGGCGTCTCTTCCTCACTGCAGCCTGCAGGACGCTGGCATCGGATTCATCCTGGTGATAGACCGGCGGCGGGACAAATGGACCTCCGTGAAGGCGTCCGTCCTGCGCATCGCAGTAAGTGCCACCGGGGCTCTGCCCTGCACCCGGCCCCTCCCTGGGCTGCATGACTGCAGGGTCCTCTTCCTCTGGGTGCACAGCTCCGCAGTTCCTGCCTCGTGCTGAGGGGGACAGAGCCCAGCCCCGGTGGGTGGAGGCCGGCGCCAAGGCCCCCCTGCTTGGGCTCCCAAGGAGCTGGTGCCTGTGTGTGGGTTTTCGCAGATGGGGGAACTTTTAGGGAGCCCAGGGTGACTTGAAAACAATTTCCTGAGGCAGGGCAGCCCATCTGTTTCTGAACAGCACGTCTGAGATGCTCAGGTTGACTCTGCGGTCTTTCATGAAGCACAGCAAGCCTGGCTGGGCAGCGGTGGGTGTGTGCAGAGACGCTCCAGCCTGCAAGTCTGAAGCCGCACTGCACGGCTTTTCTCAGTGATTTTCTCCTTTCCAAATCGGGCCACCTATCTTTAGCTGTGACACGGAGGAGCCGCCACCACCTCCCTTTCCCAGTAACCCAGCCCTGCGTGGAGCTGTCCTCCTTCCCAAGGACCTTCCCATGGCGTCTGAAAGTCTGTTTGCAGATTCTGCACGCTGCCTTCCATGGCAGAGGAGAAGCTGGGTTTGCTGTTGGTTTTAACCCAGAGTAACCATTTAAGAGGGAAGAGATTAAGTCAGCAGAAAGCCCCCAAGTCTTATTTTTGTCGGTAGTTCTCACCCGCATGCACAACCCCGGCGTGGTGCGTTTCTTACCCACACTCTCTGCGCCTGTCAGTCCAAGTTTCATTGCAGCCAAAGGACCAAAAATAAGAGGGCTTAGTCAGCTGGTCAGTCTTTGGGATGAAGCGTCTCCTTGCACCCCCACCGCACCCCCTGCCCCTCACCACGGCCGGCCCCTGTTCCTGACCCTGCCCCAACCTGGCGCATGCTACCTATGGCATCATTATCTGAAAAAAGTCTGCCTGTCTGCCTGGAGGTGACCTGGGACCATGGGTCCTCAGCTGGGATGGCACAGCTGCCCCAAGCATTCCCCAAACCCTGGTGAAATCCGATTCTCCTGGCCTCCCAGGTCCTGCGTTCAAACCATCTTTGGGTTCCTCGGCCTCTAGTGCACTAAGGTTCTGGGTGTAGCAAAAGATGCCATCCCTTTCCCTGCCCATGCCCTCTTTCCTTCAACTTTCACAAGAATTAGAGGCCCCACATCTGCCCTGACGCCCACAACCATCATCGTTTTGGCATGAGCCAGTCACTGGGCCGCTAGTTCTCACTGGAGTCTTTGGAATGAAGTGTCTCTTTGCACCCTCACCACACCCCCTGCCCCTTACCGTGGCTGGCCCCTGTCCCTGACGCTGCCCCAACCTGGAGCACGCTGCCTATGGCATCGTTATCTAAAATAATTCAGAACACTTCAGGATGCTTCCAGAAAAGTAGACGTGTATATAATCAGCCTTCCCTTCCTGTAACACTGCATTTGTTTGCTTTTGCATCACTATAAAGAAATACTTGAGCTGAGTAATTGATAAAGAACGAGGTGTAATTGGCTCACAACTCTGCAGGCTGCGCAAGCTTGGCATCTGCATCTTCTCAGCTTCTGGGGAGGCCTCAGGGAGCTTCCAGTCGCGGTGGAAGGCAGCAGGAGCCTGTGTCAGGTGGTGAGAGAGGGCGTGAGAGAGAAGGGGGAGGTCCTGGATTTGAACAGCCAGATCTCGAGTGAACTTACTGAGCGAGAACTCACTCATCACCGAGGGGATGGCGCTGAGCCATTCATGAGGGGATCACCCTGTGATTTAATCACCTCCACCAGGCCTCACCTCCGGCACTGGGAATCACATTTTTTTTTTTTTTTTTTTGAGACGGAGTTTCACTCTTGTTACCCAGGCTAGAGTGCAATGGCACGATCTCGGCTTACCGCAACCTCCGCCTCCGGGGTTCAGGCAATTCTCCTGCCTCAGCCTCCTGAGTAGCTGGGATTACAGGCACGCGCCACCATGTCCAGCTAATTTTTTGTATTTTTAGTAGAGACAGGGTTTCACCATGTTGACCAGGATGGTCTCGATCTCTTGACCTCGTGATCCACCCGCCTCGGCCTCCCAAAGTGCTGGGATTACAGGCGTGAGCCACCGCACCCGGCCATGGGAATCACATTTCAACATGAGATTTGGAGGGGACAAAATCTCACCCATATCAAGTGTCCCCAGAAATGTAGAAAGTTCTTGAGATGAGCCATCACTAGCTAATACAAATGTGTCCCTTTCATGATTGCACATTTTAAATGAGTTTGCACATGATATCATAGACAATTCTAAAAATTAAATCGTGAGAACCCACGGGGTCAGACACACGTGGACGGACAACAGATGCTCTAGAAAGCATACATTAGTCCTGGGCGGGTCCCACAATGTTCCCAGCAAGCGTGTCATTGTTGAAAGAACAGACAACACTGTTACAGCCACATCTTTCACACTTATCTGCCACCATATAAGCCAGCCCTCAGGACGTCTCTCAGCAAGACGTGGTGGTAGGAGTTGGCATCCATGCCAGGACGCTTGAGGGTGTGAGGATGCACCTGGGTACCTCCATGCCTGCGGGGTCCACGCGCCTTCATCTTCACACGCCCACCACAGCCCATCACTCACACAAGGCTCCCGAGCCACGGTCTCTTTGCCTGGGCTCCCGCTCTGCTCCTTCCTCTGGGAGGCCACACTTCACTACGTGTGCCACTATGGCACCCGCTCACACTTCACTACATGTGCCACAGCGCCTCTGCTCATGCTTCACTATGTGTGCCACGGCGTCCCTGCTCACACTTCACTACATGTGCCACAGTGCCTCTGCTCACGCTTCACCACATGTGCCACGGCACTTCTGCTCACACTTCACTATGTGTGCCACAGTGCCTCTGCTCACACCTCACCACGTGTGCCATGGCACCCCTGCCTACATTTCACCACGTATGCCACAGTGCCTCTGCACATGCTTTGCTACACGTGCCACTGAGCCCTCACACATGCATCATCCATCATGTGTGTCTCTCAGATTAGTCATTCCCAGGTTAGATGACAAGAGCTTCCTGAGATACAAGGTCACTTTTTAAGAAATACAGAAATTATTTTCTAAAAGCAGAGTATTTCTGCAAGGTCATCCTGCAAGTTAGCGAAGCAGCCCCCAGCAGACCCATGGTTCAGATGTTGATCTTCAGCTACCGAGTGTCCCATTCTGCTCACGTGTGTGTGAATGAGTGAATTTCTGAAGCAGGTGCGGGTGTGAGCAGGTGAATTTCTGAAGCAGGTGTGGGTGTGAGCAGGTAAATTTCTGGGGCAGATGTGGGTGTCAGCGGGTAAATTTCTGGAGCAGGTGCGGGTGTGATCGGGTGAGTTCCTGGAGCAGGTGTGGGTGTGAGTGAGCGGGTGAGTTTCTGAACCAGGTGTGGGTGTGAGCAGGTGAGTTTCTGAAGCAGGTGTGGGTGTCAGCAGGTGAGTTTCTGGAGCAGGTGTGGGTGTGATCGGGTGAATTTCTGAAGCAGGTGCGGGTGTGAGCAGGTGAGTTTCTGGAGCAGGTGCGGGTGTGAGTGAATGGGTGAGTTTCTGAACCAGGTGTGGGTGTGAGCAGGTGAGTTTCTGAAGCAGGTGCAGGTGTGAGTGGGTGAATTTCTGGAGCAGGTGCTGGTGTGAGTGGGTATTTCTGAAGCAGGTGTGGATGTCAGTGGGTAAGTTTCTGAAACAGGTGTTGGTGTGAGCGGGTTAGTTACTGGAGCAGGTGTGGGTGTGTGCTCAGGTGAATTTCTGGAGCAGGTGCGTTTCTGGAGCAGGTACGGGTGTGAGCGGGTGAGTTTCTGGAGCAGGTGCCAGTGTGAGTGGGTGAGTTTCTGAAGCAGGTGCCAGTGTGAGTAGATGAGTTTCTGGAGCAGGTTTGAGTGTGATCAGGTGAATTTCTGGAGCAGGTGTGGGTGTGAGTAGG